ACTGTCTGGATTATGTATATTTTCCACACATTTGATTTCTTGGAATAATCATATCCCAAGTTTCTTATCCTTTCTGAGCATAACTTTCTCTTACTTATTTCTTATTCATTTGTCTATTTGTTTCTTCAAAAAAATGATTAAGTTCCTAATATGTGCCCTGTACTACTAGATAATGGATAAAAAATAAATAAGTTATAGTGCTTTCATTCAAGGGAAGTATAATGAAGTGAGGGAGACAGCAATATGAATATATATATATATATATATATATATATATATTTTTTAAACATCTTTATTCTTTTTTTTTTATATCCTTATTGGAGTATAATTGCTTTACAATGGTGTGTTAGTTTCTGCTTTATAACAAAGTGAATCAGCTATACATATACATATGTTCCCATATCTCTTCCCTCTTGCCTCTCCCTCCCTCCCACCCACCCTATCCCACCCCTCTAGGTGGTCACAAACCACCTAGCTGATCTCCCTGTGCTATGCGGCTGCTTCCCACTAACTATCTATTTTACGTTTGGTAGTGTATATAAGTCCATGCCACTCTCTCACTTTGGCACAGCTTACCCTTCCCCCTCCCCATATCCTCAAGTCCATGCTCTAGTAGGTCTGTGTCTTTATTCCTGTCTTACCCCTAGGTTCTTCATGACATTTTTTTTTCTTAGATTCCATATATATGTGTTAGCATACGGTATTTGTCTTTCTCTTTCTGACTTACTTCACTCTGTATGACAAACTCTAGGGAGGTGGATGGAATAGATATATTTTTAAGTGATTTCACTCAAATCTAAAAAGCTTCATCTTTGATCTGTTGTTTCTAGATTTAGTAAAGAAGTCCATTAACAACTTGTCAAATTCATTCATTATGTCTAGGTTATTAAAAAATCATGTGTATTCCAATATAAATTTCACTCTTTTGAAGTAAACAGACCCCATATTTTTAGCTCCCTCATACAGAAGTCATCCTGTCTTCCAAATTGCTTTTTTTAAAAACATTTCTTTAATTCTTTTTAAAGTATAGTGACCATAATTATCCACAGTATTTTGGGTCCTAAACTCTAGGGTGTGCATGTGTTTTTGCTTGCTTCTTTGGTTTTTTGAGAGTTCAGTATCTTCTGATGTCCTTCTTGGTAATTTACAATACATATTTAGCTTCTTGGTCTAGCACACAAAATTTTCAGGTTTATATCTTCAAGAAACAACTTATGATGAATCCTAGGTTCTTCTCCTTATTGTAACATTCATCCTGGGTGAAGGCCCTGTAACCTTCACACACATGACTTTAGCTCCCAGCTATGAGCTGGGGATTCACAGATCTCTATTTCTAGCTCAATTCTAGATCCATGTATAGTATATTTTAATTTGGATATTATGCTGGCATCTCACATTTCACAGATGACAAAAAGTACTTTACCTTTCTCTTCCAAATGCATTATTCATTCTGTATTCTCCATCTTGGTGAATGCTTCACGATGTGCACAATGGTGAAAACAATTTTCTAGATGCTTCTAGATACCTCCACCCCCTTCCATCTAAGTATCACAGAGTCTTACTGTTTTTGCCTCCTAAATATTTCTAGATCCATACTACTACAGCCTAGCAATAGTGTTCAGCATTCAGGCACTCATTGTCTTTTACCTGGATTATTGCCTGGTCTCCCTGACTGAAATTTCTTTCTCTCTAATCACTAAATGGTCGCTGCTAGATCAATCTTTGAAAATGCACATCTGAGCTTGTTTCTCTCGCAGTTCTTTAGCGTGGCATCTGCCTGCGTTTCTAGCTGGATTCATCACCATTCCTGCTTAGC